GTGATCCTCTGGCCTCACCCTCCCAATCAGGTAGAATTACAGCTGCACACCACCACACTTGGCTACACTTTTTATTTTTTGCAGAGACAGGGTCTTGCTGTGTTGCCCAGGCTGGCCTCAAACTCCTGGGCTCAAGCAATCTTCCTACCTTGGCCTCTTAAAGTGCTGGGATTACAGGCATGAGCCAATGTACCCAGCTAACTTTTATTCTTAAACTTATTATCAAACAATTTCTTATGTTCCAAGTATTCCACAGTGTAAATCCTATCTTTAAAAGTACACCAGGCCAGGCACAGTGGCTCCTGTCTGTAACCCCAGCACTTTGAGAGGCTGAGGCAGGTGGATCACAAGGTCAGGAGGTCGAGACCATCCTGGCTAACATGGTGAAATTCTGTCTCTACTAAAAATACAAAAAATTAGCCGGGCGTAGTGACACGTGTTTGTAATCCCAGCTACCAGGGAGGCTGAGGCAGGAGAATCGCTTGAACCCAGGAGGCAGAGGTTGCAGCGAGCTGAGATCATGCCACTGGACTCTGACTGGGGCAATGGACTGAGACCCCATCTCAAAAAAAAAGAAAAAAGTTGGGCCTGGCGCTGTGGTTCACATCTGTAATCCCAGCACTTTGGGAAGCCGAGGTGGGCAGATCATGAGGTCAGGAGTTCGAAACCTAGCCAACACAGTGAAAGTCTGTCCCTAATAAAAATACATAAAAATTATGAAAAAAATACAAAAATTAGGCAGGCACGCTGGTGTGCAACTGTAGTCCCAGCTACTCGGGAGGCTGAAGCAGGAGGAAAGCTTGAACCAAGGAGATGGAGGTTGTGGTGAGTTGAGATTGCACCATTGCACTTCAGCCTGGGCAACAGAGTGAGACTCTCAAAAAAACAAAAAGTACACCAGAGGAGGGGGGATGGGAAGCTAGTATCTAATGGGTACAGAGTCTCAATGTGGGATGGTGGAAATATTCTGTAGACACATTGTGGTGATGGTCGCACAATAATGTGAATATTGTGTGTAACGACACTGAATTGTACACTTAGGATTAAAATGGTAAATTTTCTGTTATGTGTATTTCCCCACAATCTTCAAAGTACATCAAGGTCACCAAGGACCAAGTCTCATGCCCTATTATCCCTCACAAGTCTAATCACAGTACTGATTAACAAGTATTCGGTGCACAAGGATAATAATATTTGAACATTTACAGATCACTTTACAATGTATAAAACCCCTTCACCATAAAACAGTTTCACTGTTTGATCCAGACAAAAAAAAAAAAAAAAAAAAAAAAAACCCTGAGTTAAGAAAGACATGTATTTATCTTCATTTTCTAGATGCAGAAATTGAGACTTGAAACATTGAGTGATTCAACTGTAGTCGAACAGAGGGTACCAGGCAGAGCCTCAACTCATCTGGGTCTCACGGATCTGAGAAATATCACAAGCTTTTTGTTAATCCTTGGAACTAACAATTAGTACCTTTTCTACTAGGAAAACTTCATGCAAGAGTATGTGTCATCAGGCAGGAGGAGCCTTCACCTTGTGGTCTAAATCAGCAGCTGCCGCCCACAGAACAGGGGCAGGGGCCACACGAAGGCTCCCAGGCTCTCTATTCAATCCGGGCCCTGTGGGCAGCTGCCTCTGCACACACATCCTGCCATGCTGCCTGACCCAACATGGCAACACGTTCGCCTAAATGCCAGACTCGCAGGACGTGCTCCAAGGCGAACCCAGCTAGCTCAGCTGTGAAGAGGGCGGATGAATCTGAATGTCCTTAGGGACCACTAAAAACAACTGGAACACCCAGAAAAGTGTATCGATCAAGAAACCATGTACCGATTATGGACATAAGGACCCTTTATGTATCGAAACATATTTCATTTCCTTAAAAGGTCTGCTCTAGCCTCCCAGTCAGGTGAAGGACAGAGCCCTGAGCTTGTGAAGATAGCAAACATATTCAGCATTGCTGCTCTGACAAGTCACCTCCCAATTAGGCTTTGGTTGAGGTACTAGCTCAGTGTGTTCCTTGATTCCAGGAGAAGCTTACTTCTAGACGCCAACACTCTAAAAGTTTCAACAGTCCACTGAAGAGGTCCCGATTTACTTGGAAGTCGATATCCCTAAACTGTGTTCTATATGGTAAAACATTCCAACACCAAGAGTGTGCCTCAGCACTTCAGCGTCTTAAATATTGAATCTGGGGCTGAGCATGGTGGCTCATACCCACAGTACCAGCACTTTAGGAGGCCAAGGTGGGAGAATGGCTTAAGGCCAGGAGTTCAAGACCAGCGTGGGCAACAGAGTGAGACCCTGGATCTACAAAAAAGTTTTTAAAATAAAAAAATTAGCCATGTGTGGTGGCGCATGCCTCCACCTCATGGAGGTCACTTGAGCCCACGAGGTCAAGGCTGCAGTGAGCTATTATTGTGCCACTGCACTCCAGCCTGGGCAACAGAGCAAAAGCCTGACTCTAAACATTTCATATATATATATATATATATATATATATCTCATATCTGTCATTATGCAGGCATTTATCTTCTACCCACGAGTTGAATGAAGTAAAATACGATATTCTTTATAGAAAATATAAATATTCCTAACCCTATTAACACACTCTTGTGTGTAACACACTTTTGAAAGAGAAGGTAGACACGTGGAAATGCCTATTCACACTCAGGCTAAACCCACTATCTTCTGGATTCCGTTTTCTTGTAAAACACACTACACTTTATATTATAAAGTCCTTCTGCAGCAAGGCTTTCATTCCACACCACAGAGCAAGGATTACCAGAGCCCAGGAGACTCTCTGAACTGTAGATATAATTAGGCATCACATCCATTATAACGCTGCAGACGTCACCATGTGCCACCGGCATCTGTTGACAGATCTCATACCCAGCATATCACTGAAATGGCAAATGTGGAGAAGGCAGCCCACAATAGAAACAATGGCATTTTACCCTTGTCCGGTTCCAGCAGTTTGTCTCATAGGACATAAATAGAGGCCACTCCTCTGGCCACCCTGAGCTCACAGTTCAATATTGTTTTACTGACTTGAGCAGAGTCTGTATCAAAAGTAGAAACAGAGACTCTTCTAGATCTGTCCTAATGAAGTTTCACTCCCCAAGCATGCACAACATTCAAACTATCTTAAGAAAAAAAATTCTCTTGTTAAACTCTAGCATCATTTTGGACTGGGACCAGCAAGTATGTCATTTTTAAATAATCAACTTTACTTCAAGTATTATTTAATTATAATAATACAGTCAACAGAGGAATCCCAAACCTAAAAGAATTACAAAGCCATATATCCAAAAATACTACAAACATATTAAAAGATTAAATATGGTGGAAGGCATGTCAATCTGGCCTCTGGAAATTGACATTACCTCCAACTTGCTGTTGCACTGTATCTTTTTAAAAAGCAACAGAAAGTACTGTGATTTGACTATCACTTTCAAAAATGATGAGCAGACTACCTGTCCAATTCCTTAACTATTTTTCTGTTCCTTATAAGAAAGCAATTTTTGAAACAGACCTGGGAGTTATCTTTTTTTAATCCATGAAAAACGCAGTAACCAAAATTTGGGGAAATTATTTAAAAATAAACACTCACTGCTAAAAATCAAAGCCACTTTTTAACTTTGTGATGATTGATGATGCATCAGCTGGTCCAGATGACACATTAGTAATCCTCAAGCCGTGTGCTTTCTTCACAACCAAAAACAGTAGAAGCCTTGAAATTTTGTTTTTTTCTATGTATTACTCCCATTTTCTTGTTTCTAAGAAAGGTAGGGATGGCAAAAACCTTAAGAAACTCGGGGACAGACTGAAATGTAGCTAAGTTAGAGTTTTAAAATAATAATAGTAAATGGTATTTTAGGAGAGAGGGTAGACAAGAAACATCCTGATATAAAAATAGTGCTTGGTTATTTGATAATTATCTCTTCTTCCAGCTAATGCTGTTTGCTGGGAGAGAAGTTTGGGATGCGTGTTCTCCACCATCATACCCCTATTCACCAAATACTATCGCACAATCACTGGCAGTGCCAACTACACAGAGATACACTATGGTCACCACAGGTTACCCACTTAAAGCAGGCCCTTAGAAGGGAAATCTACCCCGCCCCACGCCCAGAAAAATGGGGGGCGGGGGGAAGCACAGAGCGTTTGGCTTTTGCCATAACCTTGTTTTCGTAAGGTTGGGTTATCAGGTCTCTATTGTCATGCCTGACCCAACCAGGCTCCCTGCCTAGTCAAGTAAGAGGCGGGATTAAGCCTCCTGGTGAGCATTCCCTATTTATTCCAGCCAGAAGGATCAAGAGGAAACCTTGAAATAGTGGAATGTTCCACTGACCCCCAGAGAGCGCCAACCAAAATGGGGAGGGAGCTTTTTAGAAGCTGGCTGACTCCTTTGTCCCTGTGTGCTTACCTCAATGAACTATAAATAGAGTGTGAAATAATTGTGACTATCGGTAAATGTCTAGAGTTCACAACACCCCTTTCTCAGGAACCCAAAAGATTGAATACATGACTTTCCATGACTCTGGGGGCAGCCGGGTGGAAACTGCAATGAAGCTGATGTTCATTTGCTTCTTTCAATCGGAAAGAGCAGAGGCTGGGGGAAAAGGACAAAAACGGCCCAGGAGAGTATAACTCGGTGGCCGAGGTCACAGACTGAAGGGGCAGGTGCAGCCCAGAGACTCCTTCAGATCCTGGCCTAGCGCGGGTTGGTGCGAGGAACAGAAGCAGACGGAGAACGCGCTTTTCTCGCTCTGCGACTCTGATGCTGCCAACACACGCGCGCGCGCACACACGACGCTCAGTGTCCTGCCCGTCCCCGGACGCGTCCTCTTTCCTAAGGGCCCCCGGGGCTGCGAGGACGCGGACAGCACAGCACCTCCACGGCGCGCCCCCTCGCCCGGCCCCGCGGCCCCGCGCACGGGAACCCCGCGGGGGCACCGGGCCCCACCACGCGCGCGCGGCCCCCTGCTGACCTTCCTCTGCTGCTTCTCCCAGGCGGGGTCCAGCAGCAGGTCGCGGTCCCACTCCTCCTCCTGGATCATGTACTCATCCTCGTCGTACACGTAGTTGTACTGCACGCCGGGCTCGATCTGGTTCATGGCGCTCAAGTGGCCGGGGCTGCGGCGGGGCGCGCGGGGCTCGGACGCACGGGGGTACCGGGACACGGACCGACGGAGGCGGCGGCGGCGGCGGCGGGCGCGGGCGCGGGCGCGGGGTGACCTTCGCGCGGCTGCTCTCGGGGCGGCTCGCCTGGGCGCTGGGTCTCGGGCGAAGCACCAGCTCGGGCTGCGAGCAGCTGCCGCGCCGCTTAAGAGCCGCACCGCCCTGTCACGTGGCCGCGTGCCGCCCCCGCCCAGGCCCCGCCCCCCGGGCCCCTCCGCCCCGCCCCGAGCACGTGCGGCTCGACTGGGCGCCGGCCCCGCCCCGAGCACGTGCGGCTGGACTGGGCGCCGGCCCCTCAGCGGGCCCCCGGCAGCCGCCGCCCCGAGGCCTCCGGGAGCGCGCGGGGGGCGGCTCGGCCGGCGCAGAACCACGCTTGCCACCGACGCGCTGCCTCTGCGCTCGCCCGGCTCGCGGCGCGGGCTCCGTCGGGGTCCCCGCTGGGTGATGGCGGGCCGGGGGACAGACACCTGAGGGGCTGCGTCCCTGACCGCCCGACACTAAGTTTCCCAAACATCATTTGCATGTTCGCGTTTCCCAGACGTTCCCACAGATTTATTGCAGATTTCTCTCTCTCTCTCTCTCTCTCGTGTCTCTCTCTCTCTCGTGTCTCTCTGTCTCCTCTCATCTCTCTCTCTCGTCTCTCTGTCTCCTCTGTCTCTCTCTCTTTCCAGTCTCTTTCATCTCTGTCTCTCTCTCTCCTGTCTCTCTCATCTCTCTCTCTCCCGTGTCTCTCTTTCTGTTTCTCTTCCCCTCTCTCTCACACGCACATGCATACATACAGCCCCCTAAGGAGTAAAGGTTAAAAGCTACAGAATCTCCTCTTCTTCCTATCCTGCCTGGTCTCATCTGGGGAAATCAAGGCACAGGATTTGGATCGATCATATTAAAATGGCAGGAACCAAATCAAAGGCAGGAAATGTCAGCTCTCACCTGCCGGTCATAAATTTAAGAGAGCTGACAATGAAGGGCAAGCGGCCAGGTTCGTGTTATATTTCCAAGTCGCCCTGTGGGTCTCATTTAAGGCCTTTTCATCCCTCGGGGGCTGGCTATCTGTTCCCTGTCAGTTATGCCGCCGCAGGAAGCAAAATGAGGACCCTTGGGACCAGTAGGCTGAAATTTCTTAATCAAATATGTATTAAGTAACTACTGTAAACCAGAGATTGCTTTAGGTACCAGATGAGCTGATGGGATGCCTGCCTGCAATTCAGTTTATATCTCAATTAAATAAACATTGTCCACAGATGCTACAGAATTTTTTGTGATTCAGGGCTACAATTTGTGGACATGTTTCAAGTTGAGTTTGTCTGGATTTATCATTGTTCCTTAGAATTTTTACATCACTTACCGTTATCGTTTGGGGCTTTATGCAGAAAGACTAACAATCAGCAAATAGATTGCATTAATGTTTCTTTCCTTTTCCTTTTTTTTTTTTTTGAGATGGTGTTTCGCTCTTGTTGCCCAGGCTGGAGTACAATGACACGATCTCGGCTCACCGCAACCCAAGTGATTCTCCTGCCTCAGCCTCCCTACTGGCTGGGATTACAGGCATGCATCACCTCTCATGGCTAATTTTGTATTTTTAGCAGAGACGGGGTTTCTCCATGTTGGTCAGGCTGGTCTCTAACTCCTGACCTCAGGTGATCCCCCCAACTCAGCCTCCCAGAATGCTGGGATTACAGGCATGAGCCACAGCGCCTGGCCTGCATCAACATTTTTTAAAACATTCTTACTAGGACATAAATTCCACAAAGGCAGTGATTTTGTCTTGTCCCCGGTTGTAGACTCCGTCAACTACAGGTGTGTCTACAGCATAGTGGTGCGCAAACATTTGTTGAAAGAAGTAGTATCCCTGGAAATAGTAACTGAACTAATTTACTTATATTTAAATTTAAAATTTAAAGTTTATATTTTGGATTAAAATCATACTGTTGAAAGAAGTTGATCAGTAAATTTTAACTATTAGAAACGGGCTGGGTGCCGTGGCTCATGCCTATAATCACAACACTTTGAGAGGCCAAAGTGGGTAGATCACCTGAGGTCAGGAGTTCAAGACCAGTCTGGCCAACATGGAGAATTCCCATGCATTGTCAGTGGGAATATAAAATGGTAGAACTACTTAGGAAAACAGTTTGACAGTTTCTTAAACAGTTAGACATATACTATGTGATTTAGCCATTCCACTTGAGGTGTTTATCCAGGAGAAAAGAAAGTGTGTGTCCATACCAACATTTGGACATCAATGTTTATAGCAGCTTTATTTGCAATAACCCAAAACTGGAAACAGCCTGAATTGTCATCAATGGAAGAATGGAAGAACAATTGTAAATCCAGGAATAGAATACTATTCAACAATAAAAAGGAATGGACTATCTCAAAATTATGAGGAGTGTAATAAGGCACACATAAAAAAAGTTTGTATCTTATGATTACACTTACATAAAATTCCAGAAAATGCAAGCAAATGTACACTGACAGGACACAGATTGTTGGTTGCTTGGAAATTGGGAAGGTCTGGGTGTGGGTGGGAAGGAAGGATTTCAAGTGGCAGAAGAAAACTTATGGGTGATATGTTCATTGCCGTGATGGTTTTGCAGGGATATATATATGTATCAAATTGTACATTTTAAATATGCACAGTTCATTTTATGCCAACTGTATCTCAACAAAGCTGTTTAAAAATGAACTGCGTGTTTCTCTGTTGCCCTAACGATTTGGACTGGATCGTGATTCTTTCAGTATACGTCACAAATTTTAATTTTTAAGATTCTGCCTGTCTTTGGAGGCCCATTTGAAATGCCTTCTCCTCTAAAACAACTCCTGATAATTTTGGCCAGAAGTAACTCACCTTACCTCCGTTTTCCAAAAACCTTTCGTATACCGGTTATGTGTAACTAACAAATGCTGTCTTGAATTATAAATAATTATATATTATTTCCCTTAGAAGATTACACACTCCTGGAAAGCAAAGACCTTACTTTGTACAGTTTGAATTTTCATCACACTTGGTCCTCCCACCAAAAACAAGTGCATGGTAGATGCCCATAGTTAAAAAAAAAAAAAAAAAAAAAAAGCTAAGAAATAAAGCTAACATTTATTGGACTCTTTCTGCAAGGCACTCTGGAAATGCTTTGAATGCTAGTTAATTGATCTCACAGTAATTTTATGTCTGAAGCAAGTATAATCATCCCCTGTTACACATGAGGAAACTGTGGTTTACAGAGATGAAGTAACTTGCCCAAGCTCATACAACTCATGGTTGGTAAAACCTAGAACTTGACCCCAGAACTGTTGCTAACCACTGCTAAGGGATTATGGGACTTAGTTGAGACCCACTAGTTAGTGACTGAGCCACAGATCGAGGTCACAATTCCATTTCCGCAAGCTCCTATTTGGGTCTTTGTTTCAGGTCAACTGCCCAAACCCTCACCCAGCCATTTCTTCACCTCAAGGTAATGAAAAATTCCAGAACCCAAGAATCAGAATCAGAATCTCTGAAGTGTCCTTGACATGCATAAGAATCCCACTCCCTGCTGGGGATATTCAAACCTTGCTTGTCTGCTTCCCCACTGCCTTCTTCCTTCTGTGATATTAATCTTCAAGCCCCCCTCTCATCTTTCCTGAGACCCTTTCAATCTTTTTTCCAGTTCTCCACCGTATTCCACCATCATGCAGTTCTTGTTCCTGAAAGAGACTATAATTTTAGGTACCACTGATTATTTAAGGAAGAATAATTCATGTTGTCAATTACCCGTTCTTTCGTCTTCTTCATGATACATAGATTCAGGGTATTTTGATGCATACCAACAACTCTCAGATTCAGGAGACAGAGGCATTTAAGAGCTGGTAAATGTTTCTAGTCTGAACTCCCACCCAGTATAAGAATCAACTAAACAACACCATTAAAGACACACACACACACACACACACACACACACACACACACACACAAACACACACACACAAAAACAAAAAACCTGCTTACTTGCATTATTTCTAGATCTCTGGCATAGCTGCCGTGACTCTGAGTGTGATTTTTCAGTCCTCGGAAGTTCACTCTCTCACAGTGACTCATCTGAAGGTGGATTTACTGAAGCTTAAACTTTAGAGACCCTCACTTGTAGGGCCCCTTCCAAGACTCAGTATCAAGTTTAGGATTCATAATTTTGTATCCTTTTTTCTTAAAGTTCACCAAATCGAACAATCTATGGACCCCCAAATTCATCTCAGTTTTGGAAGAAGTGATGTAACTTCTACCCATTAGTAGCTTCACCTTTCTTCTGGTGCTCCAGAGAAGATGTCTAATCTGATTCAAATATTTTAAGACAATCGTCAGTACACAGAAGTTCTTTCGTATTATCTCACGGTCCTTGTTCTCCAGATTCTTCGCCATCATGACTTTTTATTTTTTATTTATTTATTTTTTTTTTTTTTGAGACGGAGTTTCGCTCTTGTTACCCAGGCTGGAGTGCAATGGCGCGATCTCGGCTCACCGCAACCTCCGCCTCCTGGGTTCAGGCAATTCTCCTGCCTCAGCCTCCTGAGTAGCTGGGATTACAGGCACACGCCACCATGCCCAGCTAATTTTTAGTATTTTTAGTAGAGAAGGGGTTTCACCGTGTTGACCAGGATGGTCTCGATCTCTTGACCTCGTGATCCACCTGCCTCGGCCTCCCAAAGCACTGGGATTACAGGCTTGAGCCACCGCTCCCGGCCCCATCTTTTAAGAGCTCTCTGCGTGGTAAACATTGTGGCCATCATAAATTATCTCATTAATCTGCACAGCTGCCTAGGAGGGAGGAACTAAGATTCCCATTTTGCAAATGAGGGGGCCTGGTGCTATGGCCCACGCCTGTAATCCTAGCACTTTCAGAGGCTGAGGTGAGAGAATTACTTGAGGCCAGGAGTTCGAGACCAGCTTTGGCAAATAGACCCCATCACTACAAAAAGAATTTTTTTTCAATTAATGGGGCATAGTGACACGTACACATTCAACAGCTATGTCATATTGCCTTCTTAATTTTTTTTCTGGACACACTTCTGCATGTATATATACTGTTTCTACAAGGTGATTTCCAAAGGAAAGGATTTGTTCCTACTTATCAAAAATTGTAATTGTACCTTTTGACCCAGAAATTCTGCTTTTTGAATTTACTATACA